GGATTTTCGACACTAGCAAGAAAGCTAGTTCGGATTCAGCCGGTGTCTGGAGGAGAATTCTAGTGGCCGACTGCTCTATTTGGTAGTTTTCCGTGGTTACTCCAGGTGAATGCCGGAGCAGTACCCTCACAAATGGGCCACAGACCTCGCGAGATCGTTCCCTCTTCCTCGTCCTCTCCTCACGCCTCACTCTCTCCCACGCACTCCGGGAGCTTACAGCTTATCCTGCTGGGGCGGTTATCTGCTTGGGATTTCGCCTTAAATAACAAAACGAGCATTTAAGTATAGTTTAGAGCGATCCATTCAGGTCTCCGGTTCAATTGTAGGCTAATTAGTTCTCCTTAATCAATGCCAAGATAAGCTATTTCCAGCGGAAGGGACGTGCAACGTAGCGAGGTAGAAATAATAAATCTGAGAATAAAATGCGCCACGAGAGGATGACTGTTGATGAATGGAGTAGGGAACCGTAAAGAAAATGAAAACCCGAAGTCAGAAGACAAGAAAAGGAGTTGTTATGTTTCATGAAGATACTGGTGTTAATGACAGTCAACTGCGTACATTTTGTCTCCCAGGGCCAAACAGTCTGTGCTCCTGCGCCGTACTCCCGATTTTGAGTACTTGAGAATGTTTAAAGGGAGCTGTGGCAATTTGGTAAAAACGTGTGGGGAGAACTGTTCTGTTAGATCTTATGATATCCTTTAAAGGTAACGATATCCTCCTCGAGCAATTGAAATGGAACCGTTTTTATTAGTAACGTAATTGTATGCATTTTTTTCTGTAGTTTAGTATAATGTATTATGTATCATGATGTATTTGAGTATTAAATGCATTTAATATAAGTGCATAGGCACTCAATCTTAACCTTCTTACATATTTGCTATAATTATTTTGTGACTCAAGAGAATGCTTAAACTCCTAAAGTGAAGTGGTATTTACAGAATATCATAGAATGTGCATGTTGCGTGAATAATTTGAATGTGAATATTTTTTTTCCTTCTTTTGTTTTACCTTTTCCGCTTTTGTAATATTTATTTGTTCGTTTTATTATCCTTTTCATTGTTTCTTTCCTTTTCTTGTCCTGTTTCTTGTTTTTGTTCTGCCTTTTTCTAACTTTCTCTTCCCCCTCCCTTTCCCTGCGTTCCTGACCGGCGGGCGCGCGGTGCTGCAGGGCTGGGCGAGACGGCGCAGGTGCACCTGCGGCAGCCTGACGCCGCGGCCAAGCTGGCGCCGGGCGCCGACGTGACGCTGGTGTGCGCCGTCGAGGGCTCCGACGACGTCTCCTACGACTGGTTCAGGTGAGCACGCGCCCACCTCTCAGCGAGAGGCCGTTCAGATCGGACGTTGCGGTCTGGCGTTTCCTTAACCCAGGGCCGACCCCCCATTGATTGTGGCCCGCGAAAGGTTATTGGTCAAACTGTCCGTCCTGTGTAACCCTGTTGGGGAGAGAACATTGTGCGCCTATACTTAAACTGCCTAAACTATACATAGCTGCTCTGAAACGAGGGGGACATGCGTGATATGAGTCCGTAGCATGCATTACGCCCCGCGTGAAACTCATGGAGATGATTTTGAATTCCACAGACATGAAAAAATTCTAAAGTTTTAACTTTACCTACTTTTGCAATAAGAGAAATAGTGTTGACTCCGAAGGCGCGTGCGCTGGGCGTTCGATCGAGAGCGTAGGCTTCCGCGGCCGGAGTCGGTTCTTACGTGGCTATCCGGAAGGCGCCGCGTCCAGGGCAGAGGTGCCAACGTTTCGGTCGCCATTCTGACATTATTGCGCAGCAATAACTACGCCCTGATGAAGGTCGCGGAATGGCCGATACGTTGGCACCTCTGCCCTGGACGTGGCGTCTCCTGGATAGCCAAGTAAGTACCGACTCCGGCCACGGAAGCCTACGCTCTCGATCGCACGCCCGCGCACGCGCCGTTGGAGTTAACACTGTTTCTCTTATTGCAAAAATAAGTAAAGTTAATATTTTAGAATTTTTTCTCGACCATTCAGATTTTCAAAATCATCTCAATGAGTTTCACGCATGCTACGGACTGATATCACGCATGCCCCCCCACTCCCCTCGTTTCAGAGCAGCCGGGCGAACTGTCGAGATCAACAATACGGCGAGGTCAAGTGTGGATCGCCCTAGTAGTGATGATTAATATAGCCTGACCACTTTATTAAAAGTTTTTGTTGTGGCCCTTGAGGCCTTGCAAGTTGGACACCGCTACCTTAACTTCTTGCGAAACGCGCTCTTGTAAATTGTTTTCAACAGCACTGTTATTTTTTCTCTAGCGAAGACCCTGTAGAAGGTGGCAAAGTGGTTCTGTCGTCTATTCGCCTGAGTCTCTGCCCCCCCCCCCGCCATTGCCTCTTGTTCAAACCGATTGTTGAACGGATAGTTAGGTTAGTCCAATACATGCGCGTGCATTGTGTTCTACGTTTTACAGCACACGCCTCCTCACCTAGATTTTAATTTTTGTTGTAATCAAATGTCAATTGCAATAAAAACGCAACTATGCAACACTCCGGCACATGCAACACACAAGCAATTTATGATCAAATTAAAAATCGAATTTAAAAGAATAATAAATTAATATGTTGAAACTTTAAATAAATGTGTGTTGAAAAGTGCAACCTGTCGGTTAGAGAGGTTTTCCCCAATTATCTAGACGAGCGGGGCATCGCCCCAGTCGGGATAAGCTCTAAGTTCCCGACCAGTCTTCCGACAAGTGTGGTCGTGTAGTGCACGTAAGAGTAAGTGTGTGAAAGTAGGGGTGAGGATGGGACGAGGAGGAGGAAGGAAAGATCGCGCGCGGTCCGTGGCTCATAGGTTAGACTACTTCTCCGTCATTTGCCTGATAGTGATAGCCATAACTATGGGAAGCTACAATGAAAACGTAACATTCTAGCCTCATTTGTGTAATAAAAATTACGTTTTTAAATCGGATACTATAAATTAGTGTCAAAATTAATAAAAAAATGTAAGTAGGGCCCAAATATGAAAAATTGAATTGAATTGAAATATGTATTACTAAATTTGTAATAGAGCGTCTTTTATATAGCTCTGCAAGTGGGGTTCACACCAAGGGATTGTAAATGTTGAAAGTTGTTCCAAAGAGTGGGTCTTTAAAAAAGGCTCAATTTCGCGAATTTACTGTTTGCATGGCCCCCATGACGTATTAACACTGAATTGACAAACACCGCAGGACTTACTCCATAGCCGGTTATAAAGTTACAGTATTAATGAATTCATATACATTTCATTTTCATGATAATATTCTCTCCGGTTGAGGCTACTAAACTACAGTTAACGTCTCTGAAGTCACTGCCCAGCCTAACTTTTTAACTAACAAACATCACGCACTCAAGCGTTGTCTTTCGTCGCCAATAAACGTCGGAAATCTGGAAAGCTCAGGCTGCGCTCCGCTTTGATGGTGCGGGCGCCGCCGAGCCGCGACGTTGGGCCGAGGAAGCGCCGCGAGGGGCGCCACCTCCGCCCCGAGTGGCGCTGACAGCCCCCGAGCCACGGCCGCGAGGCGACGCGACGCGACGTCGAACGGAGCGGTGGCAGCGTCGTAAACCGGGCTTTATGGCTTGTTTCTCCGCCTCCTGAAGACGATGTTCCGAGTCTTCGGAGAGATGCTTCCGGGGAGGATCGAGCTTAAAGGGTGAGCTTAGGGAACGGCGGAGGCCGCACACGGAGGCGTGGACAGCGGGAGAACAGAATGTGAAAGTGAAGCGGCGCGTTTTATTCGCTCGTAAAATGGGTTAATGAGAGATAAAGTTTGAAAAATTACAGATCAAAAGACGATAGAAAGTTCATTACGTGTGTAGCTGCAACTTCATTATGTGAAAGTAGACGCGTGATTCAAAATACTTTTGTGAATGGATCCTGTTCGTAAAAAGTGTCAGTTTTTAATTTGTGCTGATGTTACCATATTTCCAAACCAATATTTGCAAAATTTTCGTAATAGGTGGAAACTTGACTCTATAATGACTTCTTGATAGTCTACTCTCTGAACGTGTACGAGACACTTTAAAATTCTAGCAGTTTACGTTGCTTGTACATCCTTGCATTGCCAATAGTAATAGTTAAGGTGTTTTCGCATTCTTTAAATACGTAACAAGAAGAAAATAATAAAATCTCTTGTGTATGTGAAAATAATAAAATCTGTAGAGATCCGCTGTACCCGGCTGAAGTCCGGCACACACTTTACGATATACCTGTCAGGTAAACCTGCACAGGTAAATCGGAAAGGTATACCTGTGTAGACTAGAGCACACACACGCTAAACGGAAGATTTTAACTCAGTCGAGTGATGACGGGCAAACCAGAAGATGTTGTCGTGGCCATGAAGTGTAAAAAGAAGCGAAATCGCAAAGCCTGGTGTAAAGCTTGGCTTAAAAAAAGAAATGAATACACTCATACAATATTACTAAAAGAGTCAAGTTCTGATCGTACAGATTGCCGTAATTATTAGTGTATGAATGAAGTAGTCTACAACAACAACGACAACAAAAGTTGCCTCTTGCAAACTCCTCTGATACAAAAAAAAAGAGAGAGAGAGTTATGAGAACTTCTCTTTCTTCCCTTGAGAGACTGGTAGCTACTTTCAGGTTTCTTGCAACGAGTCGATCGTACAAATGTCTCAAGTATTCTAGTATAAACCCCAAACTCTTCCCAAAATAATTCCGGAGCCAAGTAAAGCCATCTACAATGTGTTGGAAAAACGTATCATAGGCATAGTCACTAGCTAACTCTATTGTACTCGTAAATACGAAGTCGACTGACGCTCTCTACTCAACCAACTAGCCACAACTAACTTAAAAGCTGTACCGGCACAGGTAACGTGTACGGGTAAACCTCACCGGTATACTGGAAGGCGTGTGCCGGATGTAGAACGCCGCGCCGGTCGCCATTAGGAGCCGTCCATAAATTACGTGAGGCGATTTTGTAATTTTGTGACCCCCTCTCCTCTCTCAGTGAGATGTCGTGAGATTTGGCTTGGCACCCTCCCTCCTTCTAATATTACGTGAGATTTTTCAGAATGTGAATTTTTAATCTGAATATTTTAAATTTGTTGTTGGTTGCATTGGCGTATATTTAAAAAACAAAATTTATTTTATTATATTTATTTAAGACTAGATATGACTAGTATTTAGAAAACAGGGTTACTGAATTACAATTAATATTATTGCTCTTCTAAAAACAGTGCAATACTTCATTCTCGGTAATTTTTCTTTAAAATTTCTGTAAAAATACAGGTAATGAGCATTACCGCATTAATGATAAAGTGTTTGGTAATTTTTGTTAGATTATTTTTCTCAGTTTATTATGCTACTTATTGAAACATTCACATAACCGCGATAAAAATGATTGTGTAAAATTTAATCATATTTTGGTATAGAAACGGGTTTTACTTAACTTGTCTCAGTTTTCTCGCAATTTAGCAGTTTTTAGCGAAAAAAAAACGCGATTTTCACCGCGACCCCCCGTATATTAGTTGAGATTGGCTTCGCCCCCTGATGGGCCCTCACGCGTGTCGCGCGCTGCCTGCAGGAACGCGGAGCGCCTGCAGCGCGGGGAGCGCGGCGACCGCCTGCAGCTGAAGGGGCGCCGCCTGCACCTGCGCAACGCCAGCGCGCAGGACGCCGGCGTTTACCGCTGCCGCGCCAGCAACCGCGCCGGCACCACCAACTCCTCCAGGAACTTCGCGCTCGCCATCCCGGGTGAGTGGCGGCGCTGGGCCATGCGGGTCGAATACGCTAATTGTTGTCGCGATGCTTTATTTTGAGTTATAAAATATTTCGACGTGCGAAAGTTTTATTTTGCAGATCTATTTTACAATTCCATAAATAAGGAAAAGAGAAAATAAATTCCGTACTGTAGAAATAATATATTAAATGTAGAGGATACGCATCATTTTGCGCTATTTTTTCACACAATCACTACAAGAATTTTGTAATTGTTACTATGTAAAGAAAGGAATTAAAAATAACGTATTTTAATAACTGACTATAATTTGCTAAAAGTTAGTTTTTTATTCAATATTTATTTGTTATTTCTACCGTACGCGACGTTGTTGCCATACAATACAGCAATGGATATTTGAGAATTTGAGAGAGTTGAACGGCCACGTAATGGGAGAGATATGATAAGATGGCTTAATTTATTTAACGATAATATATATACATATTAAATATAATATATATATATATAATATGTATTATATATTTATATATTATGTATAATATTATATATATATAATACAGATATACACGAAGTAATGATATCGTAGTTTCGAAGGTTCAATTTATATGTGAAATTATCCTTACTTGTCTGTATGATGTTGCTTGATCTGTGTGATGATAATAATGACAACAGTTGCAAATAACGCGAGAAAGTATGTTCTGTTGTAGATCCACTGGTTTAAAAGTTAAAACATGTGTTTTCGTGAATTAGCTAGCTCTATAAGAATTCATTTACAGAAAGCAAAAGTGCCTTCAACGAGTAACGCAACGAGTTTACTTCCCCTTCGTTGGGAAACTGTGCATGTTCTTTCGCGTAATTTCTGCGAGCTGAATTGAAGGGAAGACATGAAGAAGTGCATGTCGCAACCCACGAAGGCTGTGTATACCTCGGGAGATCCTTCCGCGGAAGTAGCTCGCCGGCAACTCCCACGCGCCTTCTGGCGGTTCACGGGCTTCACCGCTCGAGTGCGTTCAAGAATGCGGAGGTCATTGGCAAACCCCTTCAGTTCTTCCAGAAGCATCAAATGTCCAAATTCTACTCCAACGTATGCAATTGAAAGTTTCGGGAATTTTTTGCAAGTTTTGTATTGCGTCATCTGTAATTTTTTGGAACTTCTGTATCTTGAAACCGAAGGGGAAATTTTGAGTTATAAAATATTTCGACGTGCGAAAGTTTTATTTTGCAGAAATATTTTGCAATTCCATAAAGAAGGAAAAGAGAAAATAAATTCCGTACTGTAGAAATAATATATTAAAATGTTTATCCGGACATATTTTCAGGCATTTACTTTTCCTTTTCAGTAGGATTTTACAGCGTAAAAATAAAGTTTCACAGAGGGGTTAACTAAAACTTATTGGCAAAATTAATATGAATTAATAGTGAACGGAAATGTATGAAAGAGATTATTGATATTTGTTTCATTCTGGAAGTAGTCTACGTAACTTAAACTTATATGTCGGTATTATTTTTCAAGGGGCAGTTTTCTATAAATGTTAAATACATCGTCTATTATGAAACTAAGCTCATTTCCAAACCAATTTCAAATTCCTCCATTCTATGTTCACATGCACGCGACTGTCGCGGACTATTTGCAATGCCTAGTAATACGCAAGCACAATTAATCACGTAGCTCCATCTGTACCAGAGTCGCAGACGAGCAGATGTATCCGCATATTACGCGATATGAGTCCGGGGCTTGGCGCATATTAGCACGGGCCGTTCGCATTCCGCAGATGACGCTGATGCGTTGGCACAAAAACCGCCTGGCCCCCCGCGGCGACCTGTCGTGTGCAGATGCCCCCATCCTCCTCCTCCTCCCCCGCGAGGCCGCAGCTGATGCCCCGCGCCGCCCACGCGATTAGTGTCAGCGCCCTTCCCCTCCCGGCGCACCACCCAGCACCCTTCGCCTCCCCTTTCACCCCCTTTCCTCTCTCTCTGTATCACGTCCCTCCCTCACCACCAATCACCCTTTCCCCCTCTCTTCCCTGCCTTACAATCCCCCTCTCCTCTCTCACTCTCTCCGTCCTCGCACATCCACCCTTCTCTCCTGTCTCCCTCCCCATCGACCATCCTCTTTCTCCCTCCCCTCTCTCCCCTTCCTCCATCTCTTCCCTCTGCTCTGCCTCTACCGCTTCCATACCTTCTCTCTTCCTTCCATCTTTCCCTCCCCTCTCCTACCTTTTCTCTCCATCCTCACCTCCTCCTCTTCTCCTTCCTTCCCTACTCCCTTTCGCCCTCCCTCTCACTCCTTTCTCCTCCTCGTCCCTTTCATTCCGCTCTCCTTCATACCCCCGTTTTTCTCTCTCCCATCACCCTTTCTTTCTTATTATTCTAATCCCCCTTTCTCCCTCCCTCCCGCTATTTCTCCTTTTTCTCCTATACCTTATCTTCCACTCCCTGCCTCTGTATACATCTCTCTCTTCCTCCCTCCTCTATCTGTATCTACTTCTCTCCGCTACACTCTCCTCCCCCACTCACCCTCCCGCCGCGACCTCTCTTCCTTCCGCATCCGCCTCTCCACTCCCACCCTCCCTTTTTCCCTCCCTGACCGCCCGCGTGCGAGGGATACGGTTGGCTAGCGGAAGAGCTTATTGTGGCAAAATGGCACATAAAGCTAAGATCCAAAATGTCAACACTTTTCGATATTGTTTTGGAAGTAGAGAAGAAAACCTTGCACGGCGGTGTGTTCACCTGGAGGGTATTACTCATGCATTAAAAACCCTGCTAAAAAGGCAGCGGCTCATTGTGAAAGTCACTCCCCTCAGCCGGATAGACTCTTTGCCCGCTTTTAAAAATAGAAACGGAATGTGAGCATTTTGAACTTCACTTTTAAATCACGACGCCTTTCTTTACTAACGCTAACTTATCACTTATGACAGAGCGAAATTTAAACATAAGAAGAGGAAATTGTCAAAGTGAGTAACAATTGCACACATTGAGAAACCAACTAGTCATCTCTTTCTGAGAGGGATGTCAAACCCGCGCTCACCGATAGTGGTTCTTACTTTCGGCTTCCTCATATACTTGACTAAGGTTATTGTTCTTAATTACTAAACGATGGGCAATGATGGTTACTAAGACGTTGAGTTAGAAGTGCGCTAAAATTCTTAAAGTATTTCAGTGTTATGATTCGCATATTAAAATTAAAAGTAAGATTGCAAACATAGGCATCGTAGGTTTATAGACTAACATGTAGTAGTCGTATTTATATTTTAATACGCTATCAATCTTTTCTACACATCCTCCAAATTATTTTTCATCAAGGAAGCATTTCTTTAGCTCATCATCTCTTGAAAATTCTCAAATAACACAGATATAAAGGAGAAAAGAACCAGACACATATAGGAACGTGAATTTAAACGTAATTGATTTGAGACTGTGGCACAGCGGTGTAATCGGTCGTAGTCGAACTACTGCTAAATTTAGCTAAGTAGTGGGGTGTGTTTTCCGCATGTTTTTCGATGTTTGCCGAATACAATATCAGAACGTGTGTATAGATTAAGCCTAATTCTTTGTCAATCAAATAAACGCCTATAATTTCAATATCGTAAGGGCTTAATTTATACTTCACGTTTAGCTATTT